AGGCAAGTGTTTGACATCAAAGATATTTGACCAGTTGAAGTCCAGAACTGTCAAATGTTATTTCCAGTTCATTTTGTAACTGATCTAGACATTTTTCTCGAAGAGTCACACCTCATACATCCAGCATAAGGGACCTTCATGTGTGTAAAGGGTGATTTGTTGTAAGACAAGCCCAGGTGAGTGGGAATTCTAGAGTCATCTCTGGATACGCCATATTGCATCAAGGAAGATTCGTTTGAGGCTTTCGTACAAAACCAGCAGTGCAGTGTGTGTTTGAGCATGACTGCTTCAGTGAAAAAAAATATTAAAAATAGAGTCGACAATAGAGCCTTTTTTCGCTTCATCTCTCCTTCTCCGTTCCATCACCAAGTGTCTTCCTTCACTTGGTGACATTGTTTTTTATCTTTGATCCCTCTCGCTCTCTTAGCTCTAAGCTTGATTTTTGTCAGCTCTCCTTCGTTAACCGTATTCTGCATCGAAATTACGTTGAGTCCCACCCGCAGCCAATCAGAGCCCCAGCTGGCCTGTCTCTCCATGTGCCAGGCTCTCCGTGTGTGCCCTGGTAGCCCGTTTGTGGCTTAACAAACAACCGAGCGTTAGCATCCCCTACGTTTACACCCCTCCTTGCCAGCCTTCCCATCATCCCTCCCTCTTTCTTTCTCTCCGTTTTTTGCACATGCCACCGCAGCGCCCCCTAACCCACGTCACGTGAGTGCAGGGGCCCTAGCAACAGCGAGAGAGAGAGGGAAAAGTGGAGCGAGAGAGGGAAAGAGGGAGGGGGAAGAGACGCAGAGCATTAATAAGTAATGGGCCGAACAGTTTGAAACCCGGTCCTCGTTAGCATTGCAGCGGCGCCATCATTTGCATGGGAGCTCCTAGAGCAAATTCAACATCAGCTTCAGCCCACACCCCTCTCTTTTTGTCTTCATGTGTTTATCGTTCTGTCATCACACAATCTCCTTCCAACTGTCTCTTTCTCTCTTTTTTTTTTTTTATTTGTGATATTTCGGTATTTCACGTCTTTCATCTCGTGAGCGTCTTCTTCCTCTTTTCCCTTCTGTTGTCGTTCTGTCGTTCTCCGCCCCCTTCCTCAGAGTCTCCTGGCATTCGTTACGATTTCCTTTTTGTTGTTGTTCTATTTTCCACACTATTGTGTATTGCGCATTACTATTCATATCCTCTGTTATTCTATTTATTTTTACCTTGAAAATGATGGCAGGAAAATGGCGGCTTTACTTCCGGTAGGGTTTTATTTTTAGACTAGATCTTTCCCAGCTGCACTCACACAGTCCTGTGCTGAGAGAGCGAGATAGTTTTCCTGCCCTCCTGACATCCCGTAACAAAACACATATTCTCAAACATGTATACAAACCTCTTTTCCCTTTATGTATTTGAGTGTGTTTCTCTGGCCTTTGGGAGTCTGTGTAGAGTGGGATGTAACTGGAAGGTTGCCATGCTCCACACATAAATCCAATTCCACATTTTTTTTTCCTTCCATCGGTCTGACATGATGCCCCAGGCTGCCCATGCTACACACTCCAGCCCTACCAGAGAACCTTGTATGTGTGCACACACACACACACATACACACACCTCAAGGCGAAGAAAGACTAGACAAGAATTGATCTGCACTCCCAAACAGAACTAATTGCAAGGAGACGTGGGACTAATATCTGCATAGCTCTGTCTGCCTCTCCTTTAATCCATCAATCACCATTTTTAAATCTGTACACCCAATGGGTCACTTATTCAGTGAAGTCAAATGTCTTATGTACAGTCACACACAGACAGACAGGCATGTGCTCTGTTCTGACAAGCAAAAGCCAAATAGCCAAATAAAGGACTTTTAAGATGCAGATGTTGGAACCATGGCTTAGCAGTGCATTTAGCTGTGGTGCTCATATGGACAGTGTGGGATGAATATAGCTTGCAACAGTTCCCTATGCTGTTCCTCTTCCTTATTTCAGTTTATAAGGTCAAATATAAAATAAAAAAGAAGCAGACAAATTGTGAAACAAACAAACACATACATAAATAAATAAATAATGGATAGAGAGAGGAATATGAGTGGAAGAAATGCGAGTGTGGGAATATGAAGTGATTTCATGCTCAAACCTGATTACACAAAACCGAATTTCGAGTTGCTATTGTCTGAAAATCTTGCCCTTTGCTCTATTTTGATCTGAGATATCATACATTCTCATGATACACAAGCAAATTCTACAAAAATGTACAATAATAATAATAGTAATAATAATATTCATTAGCCACCAGTTCGTCAAAATGTAAAATGTGTATGAATTGTTTGACTGATCTTCACACAAAGGTTTAGTTAAGACGTGTTGTGTTGGAAAACGTGTATGTTGTAGTTTGTGTTTGTTTGTTTTGTTTTTTATGAGAAAAAAGTTTGTGTAGAATAATTTGATTTGGAACAATATGAGTAAATGATGACAGAATTTTCATCATTTTATCAGTCTAATATTTCACTTCATTTGTACAAAAAATGATAAAGCTAAGTAAAAAAAGAAGGTAGAGTGAAAAATAAAAAGAGTGAGAGAGAGACAGACCTTGTGTATGAGTAAATGATGACAGAATTTTCATCATTTTATCAGTCTAATATTTCACTTCATTTGTACAAAAAATTATACAGCTAAGTAAAAAAAGAAGGTAGAGTGAAAAATAAAAAGAGTGAGAGAGAGACAGACCTTGTGCCCCTGGTTTCTGATATTTAATTTACCAGTCTTCACAATGAGAAAGATCCAAGTTACTGGGATTAAATCAAAACTACTCACTGACTACTTCTCTTTCTCTCGCTCTCTCTCCCTCCCTGGTCTCTCGCTCCGGGTGAAATGTTGTGACAGTGTTGCGCTGATGTTGTAGGGGGTTAAAGTCACCAAGTGCATATTATCCTGTAAGGCTTAATATGCAGGTTGAATCGCGAGGGCCGACTCTTAAATTACAGTTTGATGGGCCTAGCATTCAGCATGACAACAATACCCACACAGACACTGTGTTACGTCTATACACACACACTTATACAGACGTGTGCTCGCGCTTAGCTGTCGTACGGATATTCATTCAGCAATATATGTTTGTGACACAAATAATCATGCAACCATACACATGCAGCCAATGCCGCACGCATGTACTTCATTTCATTGTCTTATCACATGGCCATGACATTCACACAGATGCCTGCTGAATTTATCTTTGTTTCCAGCCATTGTCTTTGTTTGTCTGTAGCTACTATCTGTGTGTGTGTGAGAGTAAGCTGCTTGTTATAGTGATGGAGTGTGTGTGTGGGCTGCCGAGTCAAGCATGTCCTCTCTGCTTTCATAAATCTGCATTGGATGAAGCTATTCTTCCCACAGACTACTCCTGCTTTCTATAGGAACGTTGTATCTTTTTGAGTGAGTTTTGAATGCACAAGTGTGTCATAATATAGATGGATAAACAAGACACATGGTAACTAGTCAAATAATGACGCCTCAGCATAAATATATAAACACATCTTCACGTTTTTAATGAGTCACAGTGTGGATATGACTCCAGATGTTGACCTATAGCTGAAGGTTTGTTCTTAAAGTGTGTTTATATCTGTGTTTGCATCAGACTTGTGTGTTTTGTGAGTTTTTACATTTCCAGTTCATTTAGTTGTCTCATAATGGTGCGGTTGGCCCAATCCACATGCTCTGCCTGCCTAGAAAAACTAGGACACACACACACAAACACACACACACACACACACACACACACACACACACACACACACACACACACACACACACACACACACACACACACACACACACACACACACACACACACACACACACACACACACACACACACACACACACACACACACACACACACACACACACACACACACACACACACACACACACACACACACACACACACACACACACACACACACACACACACACACACACACACACACACACACACACACACACACACACACACACACACACACACACACACACACACACACACACACACACACACACACAGAGACTGACTGACTGACTGACTCTCACACACTGACATACTTTGCTGTTGTTATTGTGTCCAGTGATGTGCAGTTTAGCAGAACACACACAAACTCTTCTTTCACACACACACACACACACACACACACACACACACACACCTAATTCATCCCAGAGGAACATTTTATTGCTTTAAGGTTGCTCTTTTATAGCTCATGAGACTTCTCAGTTGTTTCAGTTAAGTATCAACCTCATCTTATATGTTTCTGATGTTTCTCAGGATACAAACCTGAGAAGACATTTTGCCCCCTAGGAGAAACAATGTAAAAACTGATCTCATCGTTCAAATTCAGATAGTGTATATACACATTCTAAACATGAAAACAAACACACACACAATCAACACATTAAACATCTTTTTTGTGAACTTTCACAGTCTTTTTGTGTCAGAAACATTCACAGCTAAAATGTACTTAATTGAATAAAAAGGACTGAGAGTGAAAGAGAAACACTTACTTCTGGCTTCTGGGCAAGTGCTGGATTGTAAAATACGGCCTTCATGAATGTACAGATAAATCAGAGTCAGGCCTCACTGATGTGAAATGACTGTGACAGTAATATACTGTTACAATAACATACACATAAAATATTAAAATGCTCTCTCTTTCTTACTTTGTAATGGATTACTTGCTGTATCCTTCAAAAATGTTTTCATATCTGTACTCGTGTTCGTTTTTGAATGTCGTGACTATAAACATATTTCTGGATGATTTGTAACTCAGTGGACACGTTTTTTGTTTTACAGTTATAACTTTTGTAAAAGTCTAATGATTGATTCTGTGACTAACTGAATAGAATAACTGATCTATGGTTGAAGAGTTGCATATGAAGTTGGTCCGAAATGGACTTTTGAAAATCGTCTTTTTGTTGGCCAAAGAAATCCATGTGCATATGTTTAGATCATCTCTTCTCCTCTCTCTTTAGGTAACAGGTTTTTCCTGACGTCATATGGGGCCCTCTACATATCTGATGTTCAGAAAGAGGACGCCCTCTCTACCTACCGCTGCATCACCAAGCACAAATACAGCGGAGAAACCAGGCAGAGCAATGGGGCTCGTCTGTCTGTGCTGGGTGAGTGTGTGGGTTTATGTCGGTTTTCCGGGCAGTTGACACTTCTTTGTCATATTTGTCAATCCTAATGCATTAAGCATATTTTCATAATTAGATTTGTTACTGTCTTGGATGTGTTTCTTTGAGAAATAACATTAAGATCCTAATTCATGTAATTCATATTTAAAGGGAGTATGTCCTACATTTTAATTGTATATATATTTTCCCTAAAGTCTACTGATGTTAGTCAAAGGTTCTTGTAGAAAAAAATAGCTATAATTTTGTTTAACATGAGCATTTTCTTCCTCTTCTCTGACCATTAATCAGGCAGTTTTGCTAGTGTAACTTTAAGACTTATGTATGTAAATGACTATACATAAATTGGCTACAATTGCTTGGTCTTTCTATAATAACTTTATCTCTGTCCATAGACCCCACTGAAACCCCGCCTTCTGTGACGGACAGTTTCCAGTCAGGAGAAGTACAAGTGGGGCGAAGCATAGAGTTGCCCTGTATCGCCGCCGGTTACCCCAACCCCACCATC